TTTAAGCTCTATAATTTAATTTAAAGTTGAAAAGTATTTAAATAATTGGTTTTCTCAATGTTGAAGGGGAAAGAGCTAAGTTTTTAATTTTTTTACCCGATCAAGTACCTTACAGGTATGATTTCTGACGTTAGGACTAGCTACACAAAAAATATCGGTTCACCGATTTACGAGATATCGTGAGTCCCGAAACAAAAAAAAAACAAAAATAATAATAAAAAGACATTGTAAAAACAATACGTTCTTAACACTGCATGGAAGTTAATATGACCTAAGATTTATAATATATATTTCTCTGTTGTGTTTTGTTTAGATCTAGGATTATGAAAATGTAAATGTGTATACAGCAGTGATACTTGTAATTTATTACATGCATATATAGAAACATGAATATATTTTACAACATATTTATATACATGTTAAAGTTGTTACAAATATAACATGATGATAAAATAAAAACCAAGGAAAATATAAGGAGGTTAAAATTAGTACAAAGAAAATTATTAAGAACACAAAGGAAACGGGTTAACAATAGCAATAGACATAAAGTGGTTCAGTACCAACGTTCATAATTAGTAGTGTGGAAAGGAGTTGAACAAACTTTAGTTGAATGAGTAATCCTAGGTAGAATATTAAAATTAAGTTTGGAAAGTAGGAATGGATAAGCAATATCGTTGGAAAGAAGTTTGAGAATAAGGACAGGTTCATAATCATACGGGGTGATCTATTTTGAATAAAAAAGTGAACCCACTGAGTGATACCAGATGGAAAGGTACATAGGTCAGATCCAACACCGTGAATATAAATCCATTAGATTCTATCTTTAATGAATGATTAGAGCTAGGTTAACAAAGGTTCACCAAAGCCCGGAGCAGCGTCATGTTTATCTAAAGTGGGTGAATCATTACAGTCTCAATCTCATGTATTTAAGTTATGAGTTTTGATATTTGTTATTGCACATAAATAATATTGTGTGTACCTACCTACCCATATCAATAAACGTATTATTATTATACCATATTCGAGTAAGTGTATGTATGGTGTCAAAAATGACAGCTTGAACTTATTTGGTGATTGCGTGGGATACGGCTAACCTAGTAGTGAATCTGTCAACCGATTGACAAGCAATATTGCCATTGACACTTTATGCACGAGCTTAATAAGAAATAAAGATCTGACCTAACTGCAAATAAATTCAAAAGCTCTCTGAAAAAACAAGTCCCGAAAGGCCAAAAGAAACCAAGTTTGCCGTGCGTTCGTTTCACTTGGGACAAATATTTCGATATTTACTTGCACGGAAAAATATAATGCACAGGTTGACTGTTTACTAGACATTATCTTAAAATATATAAAGCGTTTTTAAATTATTCTTATCTCTTTTTCATACTCTAATATTTTAATAGTAATATTTAACATACTCTAATATTTTTAAACAATAAAACCCATTATTTAAGTGTAAGGACTCTATGAGCTTACGATTTTTAAATAGTAACGTAAATTTTATATTAATTATTTAAATTAAGAATAATTTACTGAAAATGTTGATTGGTCTATAATCAATTTTGAACAAGTTATTAAAGTTTAAAATTTAAGACGGAGGTGGAGTGCGGTTGAGTAACACGTGCAGAAAAATTAATGCTACATTATAACCCTTCCTCCCGTCCAAACTTCTATACTTCAGTAACATTATAAGTAATTATTTAAAAATGATATCGACCAGTTGACGTTTTTAGCAAATTATGCTTAACGTAAAAGTTAAGATTATATATATATTATCTTAACTTTTATATATACCTTCATAACTTTTATATATACTTTTATATATATATATAAAGTATTAAAAACCAGTTAAGTTCATAAGCTATTTACACATAAAGGATAGGATTATATTTTTGAACTATTAACTATACAAGTGTTAAAAGAATAGTTGACCAATCGCCCAATAATATTACGCAATTTTTTGTTTCCGAAGAAATACACAGAAAAAGTCACTAATTATTATGTTTGACTCTAATAGACTTAATAATCATACAAAGTACTGAACAACTACAATTGTTTTAATGATCGATCCAATCTGATTATAAACCAGTAAATTGTAGTTTAGCTAATAATACATTTTCATTTCATTAATAAAAGTTATTAGTTATTATTATTATTAGTTCAGTTATTTGTGGAATTAAATTAGTTGATATTATACAGATGACAAACCCCGAAATTGAGTTATATTATAGTGTATAAAATTACTATTATTAATTAATGCGGATTTCTGTAAAACTTTAATTTATTTTTAAAATAAAGTACATAATATCAATTAATTATTTACACTAATTATTGCTAACACATTTTAACGAAAGCACATAGTATAAGGTACATAAAATATGGTTTTAAAATATTAAATATTGAATAATTATATATTATTTAAAAAAATATAATGATAATTGATAAAAAAGCCAGTTTTATATATTCTTATAAACATTTTATATTGCTGGATATCATTAACAAATACTGAATGATGAATAATTTTTTTTAGTCTAGTTCTCATTACTCCAATTGATATAGTAGTGAGTTATACATAATTGTTAAAGTAATAATAACAAATTAAATAACAATGCACTTACTCTTTTAGAGCACTTTAATTAATTATCATTAGGCTTCCTGTTTCATCTAATTTACAAAAATTATCGCTTAAATACTCCCACTGGATGGAACAAAGCGTGTTTGGAAGACAAAATTATAATATTTTGGTAGATTACTTTAATAATCGTTGTTTCTTTGTGAGGAATTCAACTTCAATTACTGCCATCATTTTGTCTGTTCTTTGAAGGAATGATAAGGTTTACACTATATTACAAGGATCAAAACAAGGATTCAAAATAAATTATCCAAATTGTTTACATTTAGCCTAATTCTCAAGGGTAAAATATTTTAATTTCAAACCTACTTCAAGATTATATGAATGCGTGCATTTTCTCAATGAAATGTACTGCGATATGTTCCAAGTTCCAACATAAATTTTTACAAGAAGATTTAACTATCATTTTTAAAAAATGACTGAAGTAAATCAACCATGTTACAAAAACAAACTAAACCCAAAATTGTTACAAGTAAATATCATGTTTTTTGAAAAAGTCAAATAAAATTTTATTTGGTTTAATAAACATAAATTGACTTAAAATAAAAATGATTTTTTATTTTTAAAAAAACGCCCAGGTTCGATCTAAACAACTATTACTAAGACACATTGACAAATCGAATTTTCCAAACAAAACGTAACGTGTAAAGTGCCCTCTACACTAACAAAATATTACGGCGCATTGTATAAAAGGAATTTTTCACTAAAACTTAACATTAAGCTAAAATGTTTCAACATACGAGTATATATTACTATAGGAAAGAAGGATCTATTTTGATATTTAATTTTGTTTTCAATTTTTATAACGCAAAAACATTATTTCTATGGTAACATTTTTATACTTTAAACGTACTGTTCCTAAGAATACTCCGATTTAAGTTTTGAAGAAGAAAAACATTTCAATTCTTCTAAACTTTTTCAATGCATCGATTGTGGCAAAATTTAAAAATTACTTTTAGTTAATTAATTATTTCAATATAAAAAACTGCAAATTTTTACATTTTTAAACTGATTTAATTATTTAACAAAAATTCATTTTTAAATTATGCCACGATCAAAGCGTTGAAAATGCTATGAAGAATTCAAAATATTTTTTTCAAAACTTAAATCGAAGTATTCTTACGGACAGTAAGTTTGAAGTAGAAGTAGTTGTTTTCGACTAAAAATACGCAGGTGCTCCTTAAACCAATATTTCATTTAGTTCTATTACAGTGTATTTAAATGCCCCTCAACACTAAACACGCAAACACACAAGCATACAAATTACCATGTCATTCACTTTAATCAATTTAAGTGCAATAGCTTTATTCCAATGGGTCTAGTTAAACGCAGGTACGAATATTTTTATTTGCCATGAAGATGTTTTTTAATTAGACCAAACAACTAAATTATAGTTACAAAGTTGACCATTCGTTTTAATACCGATTCAAATATAACGAGGAAAAACTCTTAATCCTGTTCATCTGTCGGGGGGGGGGGCGTTTAGTTTTAGCCGTCTCTGAACTTCTGCAATAAAATAATTGCAAGTTTCTCCAACTTTTCAAATAACACTTTATGAACGATGACCGTTTAAGCCTTTTCACGTTTTCCTTTTGAAATTATCAAGGCCGTGTACAAATGACCAATTTTCTATAAATCGACTGACCTATATCCAATCTAAGGACTAAGACATGGCAAATGGTACCCATTATCCAAAGTTGGAAAACTCAAGCTTCGACTGGACGATTTCTCCTTGTGTAAATATGATACACTTATTATCTCCTCCGGCGTACAATTTACTGCCAAAGCCGATAAGCAGGGTATATTGTCCCGAAATGTACAAGTGCTCGGATGCCAATGACTTCTTTGGACGCAATATCAAAAATTGACCCGGTGGAAAATTTTTAAAACGTCCATAATATGGTTTTCGTTATTATTATGACGACCTACAATAAATAATAACACTAAAACCAATAAAACATCTCGGGCGTCTAAATAGAACAAACAGTAAAATCATAGTTCATACTCAGTCATCTTCGTATCGATGTAAAGGTTTTAAAAGCGTAATATATTGTCGTTGGGATTCGATCAAGATTATTAAATAAAAAACTCGACAATCAATAACCTAAATTACTATGTTAAAAGAAAAATCTAGCAAAAGCATTCGTAAAACACTAGGTGAATTCACTAATACAGATATTATACATTTTGAATTCTTACAATATTATCCCATAAGAGGATTGAGAATTACAAAACTCGTTAATATTTTAACTATATTACTCCAATTCATATTTTATTTAAGTCTATAACATAAGTTATTGATGTTAGGCAAAACAAATATTGGGTTTTTTTATTCTGTTATCTAAAATCTAAAATCGTATGTATTTACCTTTTTTTTTTCCTCGTGCAAATTCAACTAATAGTGCTGATAATTTTCGCTGACACAAAGTAATACTCGGCCAGAAAATGAAACAAATACTAATAATCAAGTGCGTTTGAACCTAATGCACTACAATATAATCAAGATCATTGATACGATCGAATCGAAGTTGTGAGGTCACGTTCCTTCATTAACTTTTAAGTGGTCTACTGCGCTGTTTTAATCCTACCGAAACGTTATCCATAATAAATTAAAATACAAAGTACATTACAGTAACCCATATGCTCGTACATGTAATCATGGCTGCCCGGGGCACTATCAAACACAACAATAATATAATAATAATATTATTATTTTATAGAGGTGTTTTTAGTATAAGTGCAAGTGCGTGTAAACGAGATCGCCGTTCAAAACGATAACAATGAAATCTATATCAATTATACATATTTATTATAATTATATGTATACGATTTTTTTATGTTTTTCCTGTTAACCGGACTATTGTATAGTTGATTTCATTACAAGGGGTTAACAGTGTCTTATAGAATTACGCAACCACCTAATAGATAAATTCAAATTTGTAAAATATTAATATTTTTCTATATTTTACCGGTTTCAATAAGCCAGTAATTTTTGCTTTAAAAACGAGACTAATTGCATTATATATTCGGTGTACTGACTTAAAAAGTAATATAGTTTTGTTGACATTTCAGAGACAAACCCTACTGCATAATAAACATTTTATTTAATAGGCCATCGATAACATTTTGAGTTTATATTTTTTGTACAAATGTATTTTATTGTGTAAGTGCTATTAAAACCAATACAACTATTTATAAATTTGGCTTTATAAGTTTAAAACAAAATTCACGAAACATGATATATCAATGTGGGTATTAAGTATTAACACTAATTGAAGTATTAATTCAATTATTTTCGGATGTATCCATGCTGACGTTTCGGGCCCGTTGTAGGGTCCATCTGCAAAGCAATAGTCAACGTTCCACTGTTGCGACTATACTGAATGCATGGCTTGTTTCCGTAAGTTATTATGTGGTTTGCTTTGTTTACTCTGTTAATGGCTGTTGTGCTTTTTCAAAATTCTCTGTATTTTGCTCTTCCCTTTCTATATTTGCAATTTCCATTCATTTAAAAAACACCTGTTACTGTTGTGTGACATCGATTGATCGATCGAATGATTTAATTTGTATGCTTCCTTTTTACCTGTCGAATATTTGGTTCTAACATATTACAAATTTTCCTTTCTTATTAAAAAATGTCTGGAAATTTTTCAGTTTTCTTTGAACATATTTTTCCCATAGTCGGCTTCTTTGTATAATATTTTAACTTTGTCGAATTGGATGTCATGTCCACTGTTATCAAAACATAATTGTATACAAAATGGAAATAAATATCACAAAATGTAGAAACTTACATTTTGAGTTATGTGAGCCTCGTGGAAAATAAATACACATTCAGTACCCATAAAATTAATTTAAAAAAAACCAAATAAAACACACAAAAAAGTAACATTTTTAATCTGCCTTTTTATTAGGTAGAATGTAATAAAAATTCGACAACAATTGTTTTGATAGAAGTTAAATAAAAAGAATTACGATTAACTTAATTACCCGTAAAGAACAACATAATGTTTTTATTTGTTACTATGGGCAATTACATTAAACTTTGAGTACTAACAACGTATTAGGACCATTTAAGTAGATCAAAAGAAATGTTTTGCTTTTAAAGAAGTATAAACATCTGTATAGGCACATATTATTATAATGGTTTTTTTTTCTAATGAAATATTACATAAATAAAAAACCTTTTTTGTATTAGAATTCAGCTTCTTTATGAGCTTAAACCGTTTTAATGTTCTTTATTGAAACACAATCCCCTAAAAGGTTATTAAGAAAATCCCTAGATACGATCGAATACCCTTTAGACAGTTTATCTGTACATCTTATTACTATAATTATGACATGTTCTACAGGCTTGACGTTTTAATAACAAAACCTGACTTAAATAACGAAAAAAAAAAAACCGCGAGAATATTATAATTTATAACACAAGCGGCATCGCGCTCGAGCAGTCCGTACTATTTATTACAGTTTTACCATCATCATTTAGTCTGCCATTTTGTTTATAGTTTCATAAAGAGTTAAACGATTGTCACGAATTATTTTTAAGCTTGTACATTATAATTTTTTACTATTGAAGATGACAATCTTTGACCGTCCACCCCGTCCTTATCTTCTTCACAACGCAGGCAGACACTTCATCCGGTGTTTGGCTACAATATTGGGGGACACACTTCAAGTATAAAGATTGCTTTTACCTTATACATAATATTTTTTTGTAGCCAGTTGTCCGTCTCCTATATACTGATATAAATAAACTTTATAAACATTTCAATGAAAATAAATGGCGTTTGAAATAAATATATAAGCTAAAAATAAATGTATATAATATTTTAAAACATGCGTACGTTATAATCTTTACTCAAACGTGAACATTATTGATTAGTTCTGTGAATAAAAAAAAAAGACATTTGACATATTCAATTAAAACTACCCTACTTTACTTTATTAGCAAAAATTACAAAATCGACGGAGCTACGCATATGCAATAATGGTACACTGGTGTATTTTATAACAATAATAATGTCCTACATTAATGAACCTCATATACAATGACTAAGCATGGTCAGTGTTAACATTACTGTCGGTGAAATGATTGATAGGTTTTTCCATACAAAGGCAATTGAGATAAATGTCAACTAGCTACAATAATATATAATAATGACATTTATTTTATTATACGTTAAGAATTATATACAAAAGAAACTAATGAACCATACGTTTACATTACTTATTTCAATTAAAATATAATATCTTAACTTCTCTTATTTTTATTTTTTTTTTTTTTGAAGCAATACAAAATATTTACTTATCAAGCTACCTTTTTTTTTAGTTGCCTCTATGTTTAGGCATATAATTACTCAAACAATAACACACTTTCAAGTATATATTTCTTTGAAGATACTGCTTTATAACATTAAAACTCAAAAGTGTGTAATTTTTATTTTAATAATTAAATGTAGATTTCAATACAACGTCAAAGCACATTGTCAATAAATGTTTTTAATTCCAAAAATCCCTTTCAGTCCCAAAATCACATCACGCCTGGCCATTAAAAAATAAGATGTATGTAACAATAGGATATTGTTGAATAATAATAATAATATTTAGATAAATATCGCAAATCCAAACTTGATTAATGAAACACCTACTGAATCATAATTAACTCATCCTACCAAAAGTCTGAATTTATAAAGTGTGGCTTAATGTTTTTCAGTAGTTTTTTTTTATAAAAGCAGGACAAAGAATTGAATTACCAATTCAATTTATAGTTAAGATTATCGCTATAGCTGCCTAATAATTCAAAGCGTAAATTGAGTATTAAAAAAAAAAAATGTGGAAGTATCCAAATGTATTACATCCATAAATTTACCAAATATAATTAATAATTTAAGCGAAAATAATTTTTTAAAAAACTACGATACATTTAGATCATAGTCGCATGGGTATCGTCAGAGAGTAAACGTTTATCGGTGTCACCATTGATTGTTGTAGGGTATTTTACTAATGGTTTGGAATCTAAAATGTATTACAAATATGCTTTAGAAGGAATTTCATAACATATGTGATGTATTTTCTGGTGAACATAAAATCGGCTCTCATGATAACGATCGGAGGATTAACAGGAAAACGTAACAAAGGACAAAAGCCCGTAACGAACCTGACCTAAGCAATGTTTTACTATCCAGTATCCTCGTTGTCAGGTAGTTGGGCATTTTTTTCATTTCTAAAAAGTTTTCAAGTAAATTTCGCTGAGTTAAATAATTGTTTACCTGATGTTTAATATATATATATATATATATATATATATATATATATACGAAATCTCGTATATTGATTACTTAATAAAAACTTAATTAAATAAGTATAATACGAATATTATACATCACAATATAAAATGTCTATATTATTATGTCTTTTATTTATAAGAACACGTTAAAATAAATACAATTTTTTTACTTTAAAAACACACATGCCGTAAAAGATCCAAAACATATTTTAGACGGCTGCTCAGAAATATTGTACTGATAATATTTTTGGAGCAGTTTATCGGCTAATGTCAGGTGAACAAAATCGATCGGCACAATACATATACTGTTAGAATAGTAGGCCGGCACCCTTCTAGTCCGTGTCTATAGCAAAACTCCACTTATAATAAATACAATCACAACCAAGACATTTATAAGCCAAATATATGAACAATAATAGCTTTTTTTCCAATTTTTACAAAACATTCAAAAAACAACATTTAAATAGTAGAATGATTTTCTCTTAAAAAGCGATAAATGATGAAGTCAACAAATATCGGTATTGTCGAATGTTTTTTTTGTATAATTATTATGCTTATTATAACACTGTTATGACTTTTTTATTGTTAAAGATAATTGTTTGTGAGACTTAACTGAAAATAAAATATTTCATCCTTTTTTTTTTTAACAGTACTCCTCTAATGCCCTATTATTCACACAAACAAAATTTCAATTTTGATGTTATGTACAATAATACCATTATAATATACTCAATAAAATGATACACTAAATATATGTTTTTCTAGAAAAAACTTAAGCTTGTGGTTATATATTATACAATAATAGAATATTTAAATAAACCCTTAACTACAAAAATCCTCAGTCTATTGTATGGTAACATTGCTGCAAAAATATGTATACAGGATTTTTGTGGTTTTATTGGTTCATTTAAATATTTAATTATACATTTTTATTATTTTAATAAAGTATAACAAACCTAACCTTACCAAAATTACCGATTTCCAAAATATCCAGAATTAACATCGACATAAAGCGTCTGTAGGAAAGTTTAAGTGTCCATTTACAATATAAAACATTGAATATAAAGTGGTACGTCCGGTGGGAGATAACTAATTAATAAAATCTTGACAAAACCAAGAAAAAAAAGAAAAAACCATAATAATATTATAAAATCACGTGACTGTCTAAAATAGAATCTATAAACTTATCTAATAGACCAAATACGACAATAAATTATTAGACCGAATCCGGGTTTTACTCTCCCCACACTTTTTATAAGTAACGGGAATGTTTGCAATAAAAAAACTACCTATTGATACCAGGCCCCAGCACCTAAACTGAGGGGGAAAATTAAAACCAACGATGGTAACTGTCAACTATTAACCGTAAATTAGTGTGACTAAGTAAAAAAAGTTTTTATTTTAAAATGAAAGGAAAAATAAAATAATTGTTTGGAAAAGATGATGAAGTTTTTGGAATTCTAAAAATTTGTCTCACAACGCCTAAAAATGCCTATTGACCGTAACGGCTTAATCCACCCTGTTGATTCCAACAATACAAACAAACCGATTAAAATGTATTAAAAAAAAACCAATACTTATTAAAATATATAAACGATTTGTTTAATTATTTTTTTTCTTTTACAGCGTAACAAACTATTTTTTGGTGAACCTCTCAATCGCTGACCTTCTGGTAACGTTCATATGTATGCCCATGGCCGTTTGCCAGTCAATCACCGGTTTGTGGCTGTACGGCGAACCTATGTGCAAATTGACATCGTACTTGCAAGGTAATTTGGATGTACTATTTGTTTGTCTATTGCTCAATAAAAATGGTATGCATTTAAAAAATAATCGACGCGGCGTCCACGGCAATACAATAATGATATTATTATCATTTATCACACTACTCCTTCGGAACGCCATTGATCGATTTCGTTTGTATCGTATCCCAGTGAAATCAACACTTCATCCGTGTGCTGGCCCAACAACGGAGGTTCTTTCGTGACTGCGTTGCTGGTGTCCTTAAAAGTTACCGCTGGTCCCACCATTTTCACTTTAACGCCATAAGAACAGTCTAGCTCTTGCACGAGTCCGATGTCCTTGACGTGTTCGTTGTTAAAAGCCTATGAAAGATAAAGGAAAGTTATTGAAATTAGCTTTCTGCTAAATCGATGGCGTAGTGTCAGAATATCATAAGTGTATATTTCAGGAGAAATGAATTATGTATGAGTGAGACTTATAATTTTATAATGGATATGGTTTTATAGTAATATTATTATCAAACACTGCTCCTATAAAATTGATAAAGAATGCACTTGGTCTAATTTACACCAACTTAAATTAAAGATGAATAAATTATAATTTTACTTATTTTATTAATGCAGTTATAATAGTTAATTTGATATTAAAACCGATGGGCAGTGGTCTATTATTATAAATATTGGTCGAAGAAAACTGATTTTTTTACTGGTTAATTTTTTACTAGTTAAACTATAAGTACAGCTTTAAAACAAAAATTACACTTTTTTTACTCGTGAGGTCACTTACATTTATTATACACTTTTTATTATATATTTTTAAAAAAAATGTAATGATAAAAAGTATAAAGATTTAATACATATACATATAATAATATAGGCCAAGACTTATTAAAATTATATTATTAGCAATTAACTAAAGCCATTTTTAGTACTAAATATATATAAATATCTACTACTCGAAGTCATTATCGCAAGTCAAAACAAAGTAGCCGCTAATTACAGCAAATAATGTAGGTAATAGTGTCCATTAAATGTTTTAAACACCCAACTCTCAAACCCTTTTAAATATATGATTGATCATATTTGAATTCAGCGACTTCGAAATCGTATTAATTGACCTATTTCATAGCCTAAAATTTATAAAATGTTCATTTATGAATTCTATACCACTGTAAGGCGCGCCATTTAATAACTTTCCATCTTTTTCTACCCTGTTAAGGTAATTGGAATTTAAATTAAACGTAAGCTTATATCTTAATAATTTAACTTGACCTTAATTAAGTTAATAATAATAATAATAATATTAATCGACCACTTGTCAAGCCTAAATATTTTTTCCTTGGATATTAATTAATGTCAACAGTTAATATTATTATGGAAGTCAAAAGAAGCAAAGACAACACTGAAGATTAATTCGGAATAAATGTCGACTTTTGAAATAGTTAAAAGTATATACTTGTTATGTACTCGTACTTGTGTCATGTCGTTAACCGGTCCAAATGGGAAAGGCACTCCGTCAAAAACTTCAACCCATTCGGAATTGGTTTTGGAAGCTAAAATCGGTTCAATGATTTCGTACAGTTGTTGCCTGTGCTCCACTCGAGCTGCGTTGCTGGCGAACCGTTCGTCTACAGCCAATTCCGGCAAGCATATCTTTTGGCAAAACGACAGGAACTGAGCATTGCTAGCCGCACCAAACGTGAAGAAACCGTCATTAGTCTTGAACGCTTTGTAAGGCACAACACTCTCATGTTCGGTGCCCCATCGTTTAGTTTGAATACCTTAAACATACAAAATTAAAAACATTTTCCACGTGTATGGTTTTATAAAGACTTTACACATTGTCGTTAATTCTTTTACACCCCGCACGTGAGACAAGAAACGCAAATTGATGCAATCCTTTCCGCTCTCATACATTTTATAAATTGTTGCCATTACAAACCCATCAAAGTTGATCCGAAATAAGGGGAAATTGGCAGATAACAAAGTAGTGGTTACTTTATTGATTAATAAAGTAGGTCGAGCCAATAATATATTATGTGATAACAGTAGTGAATAATAAGGAGTACTAAAGGTAAATAACTTAGTTAATTTACAATGGATGTAACGATACGTGTTATTGCCCGTATGTCGAACTGTGACCAATGTAAACTCCCATTACCGACGCATTTCAAGTAACAATGCACATGACAGACTATGATTGACGAATAGTGGGCATGCACACTATAAGACACTTGAAAATTCAAAAAAGGAAAGAAAGGGACCAAATTGATTAATTATAATACACCCTCCCTGTTACAAAAACTATATTATTTAAGTAAAACTAATAAATTAAGTTGGTAGTAAAAATAAAACCTTCAGTTACTCTACTCGGGCTATGGATGGAAGTGTCAACCGCAATACGTTTATTTCTCGAGCACAGTTTCTGAGAAATAATTATTGATTAAAAGCAGCAATTAATCCGGTCCCGTTTCTGCTCCGACGTAAAACTTTCTTAATGACGTTATCTAATTTTATAGTTCTTTGCGAATTCAATTGCAATCATTAGAAAAATTCGTCCACGGTTACGGATTATAGCATTGGTATATTTTTTAGTAGATATACATAGTTAAGCGCGTTTTCTCCATAATAAAATATTTATAATTTATATTCTATATTAGACGGCTAAGCACTTACAATAATTACTGGTAATTAGTGTTCATTTCACAGTAATAATTAAATACAAAAAAAAAATACTACACCGATTAAACAATTTTACGAACTTGAAGACAGCCGATGCGCTTCATACATTATAATATTAGATGGGCATAAAAAAATCTGTTAGCAAACAGATAAAAATGAACAATGTTTTTATCTCTCCCACTAGATAAACACAGAAAAGAAGCATTATAGTTGTTTTACGAATATTTGACTCGTTATGCATTTTCAAGATACGTATTTTTAATGCATACACAAACTTCAAATAAAGACTATTCAAATTAACAAACTATAATAATAATAACTGTATTATAAAGAATAATAATTTTAAGTACAGTATAAAAATAATAATAAGTATAACATTATACTGCACTATCACTTTAGAGTTTAGTTTTAAATTATCAGTCAGTTCTAAGTTCTTCCATAATTGTATTAGAAATATAAATAAAGGAGTATAGAAAGAGGAGTAAATGAAGTAGCGCTATTTTTTTTAGTGATCCCACTTTTTGATCCGACACTAAAAAATCTTTTTAAAAAAAATTAAAACTATAAACGAAAGTACTTAACTAATCTGGGTCCAATGTGACCATCAATCCTTGTTAAAAATGAGACTATTGTACGATAATATGGACGAATTCTGTCAGTTGAGCCTAGTTTTTTTTAGACTTAAATAAACAAAATTAAGTTCGTAATTTCTCTGTTATACAATAATCAATATTCGAATTAGATATATGGTTGGAAGTAAACAACCGCTGGCAAAATATGGGTGTTCAACATTTTTAAAATCTCAAACCAAAACGCTTGGAAATGCTGAAATTTCTAATTTTTTCTGTTTTTTCTGTCCTAACATGTTTTTTAACTTTAAGTATAACCACTTAACCAAATGAAACCAGCTATTTCGGATAACATTAGAAACTTTACCTGCGTTCAAATAGTTGGAAGCCAAATTAATCATCATGGACAGTTGCGTGGACAACAGGTCACAGTCGATTTTATCGCCTGTCCCGCGGTGCAGGGCTGCCAAAATAGCCCCGTGGGCATACATTCCTGTCATCAAGTCTGTGACAGGCACTGCTGCTTTAGCCGGTTCGGCGTGACCGGTGGCGTTAAGGAAACCACCGATAGAGGCAGCGATGACGTCGTATCCTGGTTTCTTATGCCAAGGTCCCTTTGATCCGTAACCGGATATCGAACAGTACACTAATTTCTCGTTGACTTTACGCATGTCCTCGTAGCCCAATCCGTGTCTAACCCGACAGTAAAAAATAAAAAATAAAAATAGCTTCAGTTCTAGCCTGAAAAAATTGTTTTGGCGACGATAGGTTGAATTAGGATAGGATAGAATAGGACAAAGCAGCACAGGATACATTTTTTTTTTATCTTAAAACACCGTCACGCTTTTTACCATTTTATTCTGTCCCAAATAACCTGTCCAGGTTCAAAAATCGACCAGAAGTCATGTATAGTCCATGTAACATAACATAACTTCAGTTAGACAAAATTAAAAAGCCATTAATAACCGATAAATATAATGTACAACTACTACAACAGTTATCTTCTTCCTTCCTCTTCTTTCGTGGTATCGGTCTTTAGGACCACCCACCAAACACATTTGCCCCCATCCCTCTCTGTTCATTAACAACGCTCTCCACTCTATCCGGCCTTCTCTTTTTTACGGCTACCTTTATTCATCGCACCTTAAACTCGGCCTTACTCCATGTGGAGCCTATTACCGTACCCTCTTCAGAAATAACTCTACCTTGCGACATGCATGTCCCGTAAACTTAAGTCTCTTATTGATATTTTCAAAGTGTTTCGCTATTTTTCTTTTCATAATTATTTTCTATAGGTACCTAAAACCATCCTATTTTGTTTTCGATGATTGTCGAGTCTTGAAATAAAAGTCAATATATTATAAAGGCAAACAATAAAAATATATAAGCTATATAAACAAGTACGGATCGGCGGTTGCAAATGCAATTATTTGTCGATCGACCATGATAAATTGTGGAAAAATACAAATGTGAATTTCCTCAGAGTTCCCGAACAGTTAATATAATAGCACTATATATATATGGCGTTAAGCAATAAACTTTTACCCGACGAAGAAGTTCTCACAGCTATACAAACACTTAGTCTACTGTCAAAACTTTGAATCTATAAAAAAAATATTAACAACAAAACTTTAAAATTTTCCCCTTTTGGATTTCTCTATACGAGATTTTGCAACCATTTTCGAGGTCAACAGCCCGGCCATGATGTTGTATCCAAAAGCGTTAGTTTACAAAACTCGTTTTTGTTTTAAGTTATTAGTTAACTGTCTAACTCCATGAATTACGCAATTCAAATTTTTAAAATACAGATAACATAAATGTCAAAGTTAATAACGAAAATTATTTGTTTTTAAATAATAATTATAAAAGTTACTACCAGAATTTAAATTTAAACTACTTCAACTAGAGGAATATATTATCTCGCGTATCCAAGTTTTGAAAATTGTTTATCGTCAGAAATTTAATTTTACGAGAATCGTTTTTACATTTTACTACACGTGTACTGATGTATAAAAGAAGCCAAATCTAACTTTACTGGCCGTGTTCTGACAATTACCGTTTATATTTTTTCTGATTTAGGATGTATTAAAAAGGAAAAACGTTTTTGAACAATTTTAAGGTGACCGAATAGAGTAAATTTAATACGGTAACACATATCTACTGATAAAAGTAGGATACACATTTTTCGGCTCATAAAAACGGGACGCTATTGTTCACTAAAATAGCCCGTTTCTTTCAGGAGTGTTTCGACTGTAGGTAGGTCCACTGATTACAGTTTTCTAATCCTTGAGCATTAAAAAATATTAAACAGTATAGCACTAAGCAAAAACACTGGGCCAATAACAATAAAATCAAAAAGCTCAATACAAGCAGACAGCGATAGGAAAGAAAAGAAGTATTGCACCACCGTAAGAGTTAAACGCATCGCTCACCTGTCCAATGTGCCGGGGACGTAGTTTTCGACGAGGACGTGCGACGACTCGACCATTCGGCGGAGTAACTTTTTACCGGAAGGTGTCCGGAAGTCCAATGTCACGCTCCTCTTGTTCCTGTTCAACGCCATAAAGTACCAACTCAGGGGTCCGTGATCCGGCACCTGGGCGAAAGGCGGTCCGAACCTGCGGCTCTCGTCGCCGATCCCGGGCCTTTCCACCTTAATCACGTCCGCACCCATGTCGGCCAGGATCATCGTACAATAAGGTCCCGCCGCTATCCTGGTCATGTCCAACACCCGGATGCCTTCCAGGGGACGTGACTTGCTTCCGGTTCCGACGGCCTGACAGTACGTCCGGTTCGTCAAACCTCTCTGCTGACACAACCAACGGAACACTCCCATAATAGCTGTTATCGACAGACAGCTGTGCTAATTCCTAAAGTTGTATAAAAAAAAACTACTCGATTGACTCGAGTCCTCGAAAATGGCAGCAGACTGAGGCGGTCACGGGCTCAGAAACTCTGAGTCAGTTGCATTCGTCTTTATAATACTGACGACAACAGTCACTATTTCGAAACACTAATTATATATTATAATATTATTATGTATTGACAATTATTTAATCGACACAAAACGAACGAATCACGTACTATGTTATCTAAAAACAATATGGTTTAATGTTTACTGTCTACCGATTAGCATACAAGCGGCGAACACACACGTACGCGCATGCTCAATGACAAGCCGAGACTGATACACAATGTTATGATTAGCATGCAGTAGCAGTTGGTTTAATGTTCACTGTTTTTTTTTTAATCCCAATCTTTCTGTATGCGAAAGTATAATAATACTAGGTTCAGTCAATTGGTGCAGTGGTGCCGCGGACGAGAGAAAAAAACCGGTTGATTGCCGTTGTAAAATAAGTTAGATAACTACTATTGATTTTATCGAGAAAGAACGCGCGCTGTACTGCAGGGAACTATTTCCCGATTATTATGTTAGGTCAAAGTTTAATTTCAGTTTTACTATCCCCATTACTTGTTTCACATAAAAATGTTATAAGGTATACTAGTAAGGCGTATTGACATACTCTTGTCAGTATCAAATACTATTTTATTTTCAAATGTTTAAATAAATAAATAAATGAAGAAATGTTTAAAGTGTCAGCATTCTAGGACAACTCTAAGTGGTTCCTATAGAGCCATATATTCCCATTTGATTAACATGTAAAAAATGTATTTTTCATAACTTCAAAACTTATAAACATTCTTAAATTTAAAAAAAGATTCTGAAAGCTGATACTTTCACCTTTAAAATGCTTTACTAGACATTTAAGCATGTTAATTGTTATTGATAGAAACAATGGTTTGAAGAATGAAGATACATATAAATACATTATTAGTCATTGTTTATTATTGGATTGCCTAACATTAAGTCATGGCTTATAAAGTACATACAACAAAATATATATAATTTCACTATTGGATAGAATGTTTAACGAGGAAGGTTAAGGTGTGTAAATTTGTGGGTACTTTGTTACAATTGTATTTATTAACACGGGCGAAGCAAATAATTTCCAAACCTCAACGTGTAAGAAATATGAACTTTATAACTCATAATTATTGTAAAAAATGTATGCTTACTATTTTTATATCGTAATTTGTGTGTGTTTATTTAAAAAATAATTTATGATTACCTGTACATGAACATCATAGTAAAAGAACAATAATTTTAAATTAAATTAAAATTACCATTTAATTAGAAGTAATCATAGGTGTTTTAACGGATAATCTTTGTTTAAATTACACAACAAGACACACGTGTGCAATTAACTAAATAGGCCATAAATAATATTCTTCACGGCGTTTGTGGTATAATTAACAAGAACTTATTTAACAACAACGTCTATGCACGTGTATGTACAAAAAAAATCGAACATGTAAAAACGTCAATCCAATTAAATACCTACCTCTAAAAGTAAATCGACTTTTCATTAACAACTTTCGATTGTGTTAGCCTAGATGGCCATAAACGATAATAGGCATTAAAATCGTATGCTCAAGTGAAAAATAAACATTTAAAACACATATTAAATAACAAATAACACACTTCTTACTAAAACTATTATTATTTATTAACGAGTTAAACAACGGACAAGTTATTTAAAGTATAAAATATTACTATCGATTAAAATCGAACACAATATTATTATGTATAAATTACTACCTTTAAAATTCGCCACTCAATTGTCTAATGTATACAAGACTGATGTCTCTGTTGAGCAAATTTATTAATTCGTAAAAACATTTATTATTTTTCATTTCGTTTGAAACATTGTTGTTACCATTGTTTGCTTATTGTAAATATTTATATTATATTCTACCGAACGTATTTATTAATTATAGGCTTGTTTCGTTTAGATTATAAATATGCGCCAGTAAAGAACACTGGAATGTACGAGTATAAAACTAAATAAGCGAACATAATACTCCAATAACGACACAATTCGGATATAATTAAAAAAGGGGAAAACATTTACCTCGTGATACTGTTAAGGCCTTGGAGCACATACGATTAACGCGTGGATACATAAAAGTGGAACAAAAACATTTGTATGCATACGAGGCGGATCATTTGCAGTCAATAATATAACAAACAAAATACCAAGAATACCAGGAAAATCGAAACCAAATGAAATTCTCCAAGCATTTGAATGATTTTATTTGCGTACACTAACAAAAAACGGACCTGTGCAAAAACAATATTTCCAGAATTGGAACAAAAAATATTTAACAAATACTTATACAACAACAAAAATGTATTTAAATATGTACACTATTTTACATGCATTAAGTATAAATACAGTTTTTGTACTTTTTTAGTTACCAAAAGATAGTCGACGGCAGTCAAACTATTAGGTATAGATAGTACAATATAATAATTAAGCACACCGAATATTGAACCAACTTAATACTAACATTAATATAAATGCTATTTCGTAATGTAGTTTTTATCGTTAGATGTTCGTTAATCAAACATTTTTGAATTCTTAAGAATACTAGTAATAAAAAGGTAGTGTGACATTAAACAAAATTTTAAAACTTGCCTATAAATTATTCAAGAACCAGACGTCATCACGTACATTCTAAAGCCGGTCCCACACACTCGTGTACTTGACGATCATCATCATCGCGGATGCTGCCGAATTATTCGCCGATATTTATATGAACTCCGAGTCGTCTAGGAGACACAACATTATTGTTTATACGAATATTCGTTATCTCTTTGACATGGTCATATTTAACGACAGGCGACAACCATCGGGAAACGACAAGTGACTCGCCGAGTAAAAATAATTGTCATACTTAACGATTAAACATCTCCTACACGACTCGTAAAGCATAGCGATTGACGATTATTCTTGAAACGATTGAAACTTTATTATTTTATCAAAAGTTGAAGAACAGCGGTCAAGACGTGTATACATAAAATAAGTTCTAGGGTACACGTGTCCGGATACGTTTAACAAAAAAACTCTAAAGCGGAAAACCCTCACGTTAAGATCTTAACAAAATTAAATAAATAAAAAATCTTCAAAGCTATGATATTAAGCCTCATTTTCAAATATAGAACAAATCTATTACTATTGATATACATTGTGTTGCTCGCGCAAAAGCCCTATGTATACAATTATTAAAAAATATGTACACAAGTTAACAATGTGGATGCTATACTCATAGAAATATGAGAAATATATTCAACCTTATGCATATAAACTCAAGTACATACTTATGCGAATTAATGACTCCGTATAAACGTAAAAAAATATGTTGGTACCTATATTAGGTACGTCATATTAAGTATTTTTTTTAAAAGATTTAATGCCATTAATATTTGATCAGATAGTTAAAAAATGTATCAAGCTTACTTCATGTACCTAATTAATAATAAATAATTACAAACCTTTATACCATCATTTCCATCATATTGTATAAAACAAAGGCACACTTTGTTACTTATGAACGATCATTATTCATGAATAATATTTATTTAGAATAATAATAAATTACATTGTTATATGCCTCTCACCATCATTTCTCCATACTCGTTCTTAATAATCAGTCCTGCTACTGGCTACATTCTAAATCTAAATTCTGGATTTCTGACTTTAATAATTTATGAACCTTTCAACAACTTTATAACAACAGAAATTACATGCTATATTGTTCAAATATTTTCGAAGGCATTTCTCTAACACAGTATGTCTAACTCGCTAAAAAAATATTTTTCTTGCTATTTTAAGTTTTTACTTTTTAAACTTGCTTTAATTTAAAACGCGACTAATATTTACTTCTTTGAGTTGGAAGAGTAATACCTATATAATTGATCTTTAGACTATTGTTTAGAAAATATATGAGTTAATATGCATTCCTTGTGTTAAAAGAAAAAACTTACACTTACATTTCTTATGGTTTTATTGCATTCCACTCGATCCTAATAACTTTACATTTAATACCTATTTATTATTTGAACAAAATATACAATTGTAAGTCGAAGATAAATTATATATTATAAGATATATTATAGTTCCTAGTTTCGAAATAACATTCACTTAAGAAAAAAAATTATTTCTATAAACTAATTCTTAATGCAAACAGGTATAAAACAAATTTATAACAAACAACGAGCACAAACTATGACTGAAGAACAAATTGTTTTTTATTAATTACAACACTACCTAATTAATATTTACATTTTAATACGACAATTTTAAAAATACATCAAATTATATACATGTCTATTTTATGAATATTTTAAAGTAAACAGCTTCCGTTAATTTGGTTTTATGAGAAAAATAATTGTATACATTAAAATTAGATTTGATATATTTCTTTGAACTTCAGAGCAGAAAATGTTCATTCGACAAATATAGTATGCATTTATGAAAACAGACATTTTCTAGAACATTTATATTGTTTATGTTTCGTTTTCTTCGTTAAGAAGAGCAACTACAATAAAATATGTTAAGTCACTTTTAACATATACCCAAAGTAAACAAATTTACATTATTATTTTTTAATGTATACACTATACAAGTAATTTATATTTATAAATTATTTATTTTATGTAAATAAAACCATAACATATTGTTTACAAAACATATATTTATAAATAATATATTTGATTTAGAGTATCTCAACTCCAAAGAATGATTAATAAATTAATAAATTCATTTCCTTGGGTATTTTTGCATTGAATAGCATAACAATGTTACATAGTTAAACAATATTAAACATATATTCATGTTTTACAGGTGTATCTGTTGGTGCAAGTGTGTTTACTATAGCTGCCATGAGTATTGATCGGTACTTAGCAATCGAGCATTCCATGTCATTCAGAAAAGTACTTAATCGAAAATCAACAATATATGTGAGTACCTAATAAATTTGCTTACATTATAATTTTATTCAAGTATTTAAATACTTAATTGAATGCCATTTTATACCAATTTTCAACAAACCGTTTATACTTTGGACCAACATTGCGTTTACTCTATTCACATATTTTGCGATTACTCCCACTTGAACAGATTGACTGGTCTGCCAACGTGCAAGTATTCCGAAACGTTGGCAGACCAGTAAATCTGTTCAAGTGGAAGTAACCGCAATTATGTAAATAGTGTAAATAAAATACCCCACTTAAGTTTCAATAATTTTTCAACATTGCGTTGTTCTGATTCGTTTCCATAGAAGCCAATACTATTGTAGTTCATACAAGGTAGCAAAAATAAAATGTTCCAAAAGAAGGTGCCTTATTATTTAAATCGCTTAAAGAACAAACCAGGGAAGTGCTTAAAATATATTTTATATATGTAGTAAACTTTAAATAAATCTAATTTTTGTTGTAGATATTTCACATCACACTATGTAATTTATGATGACCTATTTCGGACTTAGCGAATTAAAGAATTATTTGATTTATTATTTTAATACAATTTATCATACAGTATTTTGTATTTTAAACACCCTCTATTTGGGTATTGTGTTCGTTTCTGTTAATACTAAATTAAAAATGTAATCAATATAATGTATAATAAGTGCTAATAGGCTATATTCGACCTAATTAAAATCGCTATTCTTTGGGGTTTTGACTAAAAAAAAAAGTTTTTTTTCAGGTAATACTAGCGTTATGGCTCGTATCTATGATAATATTCGGCCCAGTTTTGTGGGTCCGCCAAACGGAATCTGTAGAGTTGGGAGACGACCCAATTTTGATTGATGCTATCCACAGGTATGGACTCGCGTGGTGCATTGAAGATTGGGGCACCGCACACACCAAGTCTAGTACCTTATCAAAACACGCTTATGGTAAATTAGTTACACAATGTATAATATACATTTATCTTTGACTGTATACAAACGTACCGATTCATAGATATACTTAAAACTCTAGTTGAAGATTTTTGATCGATACATCATTTGTTAATTTTTTTTTTTCTTTTTAGGTGTTCTATGTTTTGTATTGGTTTACGCAACACCAGGGTTACTAGTAACTGGAGCCTACACGTTGATGGGCCGTAGACTCTGGGCAGTTCGCCCACCATTCGATGACCAACAGGGAATGATAAGTGTTCAGCAGGTTAATTGATTTTTTTTACGCTATTTACACTTTAATTTACAATCCTAATTTTGTATTGCTGTTTTATTATTTTTCAGGTCAGAATGGTTCGCGAAAGACGCAGAGTAGCAAGAATCCTATTTTTTCTAGCAGTCATATTTGCGCTGTGTTGGCTTCCATATAATCTGTTGACACTTTTTTTAGATTTAGATCTCAGTCTAAGTCAGATCGGTTTGGACCAGGTATTTATTGGAGCCTGTTTTCTAAGTTAACATAATATATGTATTAATAGTAAATTAATCAATTCTAACAATAATTCTAAAGTATACTTAATACTGATAGATTATTTTGTTTTTAGTTACTGAGATTTTTGCTATTTCTGCACAATACAGAAATGTAAATAAATCAACGAATTTAAGATTTAACTCTTTTACAATTCAACAATTATTTTTAAGTTTACGAATGGAACATAAACATTCACCATCCAGTTCAAGACTGCAACAGCTCAAAAAAAAATAATATTTTTATTGCGTCTATTGTAATTGTTTTAAAAAAAGAAAGTTATGACGTAAATAACTAATTTTTCAATTTGTTTGAGTAGTTGCAGTCTTAAACTGTATAGTCGATATTATATAAATAATGTTATAATGGAACATATATCTATATAATATATTACATATTGTAAATATGTACCTGTGAAATATGATTGTTTAAAAATCAAAATAATAAGAACGAATATATAAAATAATACTGAATCGTATTTATTTACTCAATAGTATTGGTTTTGGTTTTTAGGAGTGTTTAATGAAATGGTACCCATTTACCCTACTACTCGGTCATGCTAATTCAGCAATCAATCCTTTGCTATACTGCTTTATGACCAGAAATTTTCGTAGAACTATCAAAGGATTTGTATTCAATACGGGTATTGCTAAACCCAGGAGGAGGAATCGGTGCAAAGTAAGTTGATAGTCTGCAACTTCCCAAAGAAATTATACTACAAATCTATAATTTATGTACACCTATTTAAGAATTCTACTTTAATCGGCATTATCGTTAACTTACGTGACACAATGGGTACAAGGCTTCTAACTTGGTATAATAGATTTTTGATTGGGATTTGTTCGAACACTTAATAGAGGTACATCGCATAAACTCTACTTATTTGGGAGTACGATACCTATCCAGATGTATATTTTATGTGTGGGCTTCATTATGACCTCACAAACTGTAAACGTGTACAAACGTAAGACTAATCAAATTAATTGTAATATCAACTGTACTGTAAATCATGTTATTGCGTACAGCGGTTTCGATTAATGTGTCGTTTAACGTTAGTTCTAAACTGATTTAAAATAACAAAGAAACGCGTCGCTGTTCGCTCAAAATAACGCTTTCAATAATTAAACAATACAACTTAATACATATTACAATATTCATAAAATAATAACATTGAATTTGGCGACATATGCATTACAGTTTACTAAATGGATTTTAAGGGTGTTCGGCGGAGTAGGTGTAGGGGGTTGAAACCTTCCCCGAAAATTACGCGAAGCCAATACTACCAAAACGCCTGTATTGATGTATTGTGCCATTGAATATTAATAGTTTATACAATTTAAATGATCAATCTGGAATTTTAATTAATCGGTTTCAGAAAGGGTTGACAGAAAGGAGCACAACAAGTGGATACGGCTCGTTCCGCAACCCACGTCGGCTGTGTTTCACGCTGGCCCAATTACGCCACAACAATACAATCCAAACGCGGACTGCCACCATATCAAACCTTGCTGTTCTATAAACGGACACGTCAACTCAGAATTCGTACTATAAAAAAAAAATTGTGTAAGAAACCATCACCACTGGATAGTGGAGGATTACATATTTTATTATTGTCCAACATTTACCAGAGTAGTCTATAAAATGGACTTAAGTCTAATATTTATATTATATTTATTTAAAGTGTTAAATGCAATTTTGCTCCAACTCAATAATATATTATGTGTTTCATCATATTTTAACACTGAAACGTACAAACTTCTTTGTTCTTTTATTTTTATTTCTTGGTTAATACAATATATACCTAATAATATAATATAATATATTGTATATTGTTGTAAAATACATTACCTACATTGTATATAGAAAGTGTGTAAACGTAAACTAACTTCATTGTACAGTGCAGTGTAGTTACTGTTCTTCTAATTTGTATTACATATTAAAACCGATAATTTAAGAATTGCAATTTTGCTTATGATCTTAATTACCTGATGTATGTATTAGTAACGTGTTAAGTCTATTTTACCATTATAAATTATACTTAAATGATCGAAAAGTAAAACAATGCCTATACATTTTGTAACAATATGTGTTCTTGTATATGTGTATCATAATTAAAATTTGCATTTATTCCAAAATGTATATAGCATAATAAATTATAATCGTAGTAAACCAGATTTGAACCACACCTACCGGGATTTCCGAACATGTTTAATGGAATTCCCACTTAATAATATATATGCAGTTTTTTTTAAGTTATTTCAAATTTAACAATAACTTATATATTTTCGTGTTCCGAAGGATAATGTTGACACACTAATAAATTAGGACGACACACCTGAATATACACTTGCATCTTAAACCATTCACTTTAACACATCGGTCAACCGCACTTTTCCTGAGATACCTATCTAACGATTCACTGACTTATTTAGTAAATTAGTAAATCCATGAATATAAAGAATGAAAAACAATCATATTAAAAAAATTGGTTATAGCCTATAAGTTAAGCTAAAGTATTTAAAACTGTTTTTGCTTATTTGTATTGTACCGTCTGAATTTTTAAATAATAAATAACTATAACGAACAACATTTTTACAATTTGTACTTGACAAAGCGAATTCTATATATTTTGCTATATATAAAAGCCAACGAAAGTAAAACAATCATTATATTTCGTTCGTACTGCCTAAACTTTAAATGTATAAATAGTTAAGAATCAGTGTAATTTATTTAATTAATACACTATATTACTTTATACTGTCACTGATTTATAAAATAATCTAGAAAAAATATTATATTTTAGAAGTGACACAACTAGTTTAACTGACTATGGCTCGATGCGGTACTTAATAGTTAAAAGGGTTTGCAATAATGTGTTTCTCGTGTTCTTTAGTTTGCCCAAAAGTTGTTTTTTTTCGAGAGAGATTCCCGCTTTATAGTATAATATTGCCCGAGGTGCGAGGACTGCAAATCGTTTTATTTAGTTATTACTTCGAAGCGTGTATAAGTTAAAATAACTTTCTAACTTCTCCGATTCCCATTCGTATCAGTTAAACTCATTGATAGACGCAAGTTTCTAATTTTTGAAATTTTACCGTTAAAACTGTACTATACAAGAAAAAAGCATAGTAGAATCAAACCTTTTATGAGTATATATAATTTTCACAAAAACATGTAATATATTTTGGTAGTATTACAGATTAGTAGTATTACAAAACCTCTTTCCTTAACTGTTTTTCTAATACACCAATTATTTCGATTGTGATAATATGGTGCGGATTTTCCACCACACGCGAAGAGCTACACCGGCACAACAATGCATTCACTTAATTTGGGTTTCATAATAAAAGTCTGTGAGTCATATTTACTTATACGTGTATATCTAATTGTGTTTTACTTTTATACTAAAGTATAACAATTAAAAAATAAATTATTATAAAAGTTCTTTTAACGTTAACGAACTCTAAAAATTAAAAGCATTAAAGAAAAATATCAAAGTACGAAAAATACCTAATTTAAAAAAAAATACTGACAGTATAGAAAGTGCGCCAATATTTTTAGTTCCGATGCTATAGTTGTTTTCGAATGTGTAAACGGACTACTATCGGCACTACATCACCTGTACAGTTTACTACTGGCCTTCACATGAGAAATGTACACAATATGTACTTGTAGTATATGTTAATTTCAACTTTTAAAATATATGAGTTAGACCCACATCCTAGCTTAGTGATGAAGCATGGTAGTACAACCGTAAAATTAATGATAATATCGTATAGCCCGTTTCAAAAGTTTGCCTCCCTCGCGGAAAAAAAATGAACGTTGGATCAACTAAAATTATGGTAAATAGGGAGACAATACATTTATAGTTAGAATAACTAAATAAAAACTAATTATTTAGTTAATTTAAGTTCCAACTATACATTTATGATCCAACTATGTATTTTTTTACGTGCTATCTAAAAAAAATTAAATGACAGTCCTACTTATAGTATTATTATGGTTCCGAAATCCGAACACACTTTGATAAAAAAAAATATAAAATGTACGTTTTACCTAATCAACAAATATTACAGCTTTAGTCGTTCTAATTCCATAATGTTATCTCATAAAATAAAAGATAATGATTCGTCTTACAAATATTTAATTTCTGCCTTTTTAGTTGTACCTACCTATGTAGGTAGGTATTTTAGTTGTAACTACCTATGTATATGTTAAATAACTACTAATAATAATATACTGTTAAGTTACACTGTATACTAAATAAGTATACAAATTCAATATTATACAGGTTAAAAAATATAAAATGTGCTAGTCCAACTGATAAAAATATATCAATATAAATGTAATAATTTGAAATTATATAATATAGAAAAAATGGTTGAAATACTGTTTGTTATAATTGAAATAGTAGGTTTGTACATATTTAATAATTGGATATTTTTCTCGAGCATAAATCAACAAAACATCTGGTTTGTGTGTATGATTTGAATTTCGACGCTATTAAAAAACAATAAAAAGTTTTGACTTTGATATTAAACATTTGCGATCAGTAATTTTGATGTAGCGCAGCGGCAGAAATAGTAATTTTCGTATGGCCTATTCCATTTAGATTTATAATATGTAACAATAATTTAAAAGCCGTAAACTGGAAATATACGGAAAATCCTACCTGGTCTTGTTTTTTTTTTAACGTACCTAGGATAAGCAACCTGGTTCGACAAACTAGTACGAAACACGTTCAGCTGATGTGTCATGTGTTCATTCAAGGTAAACCAGAAATTACTTGTTTAACTGAATAACAGTATCTCGGTGCCCAATATCCATTACCCATCCCATAGCTCATGTTACATTTAGCATTGGAAACGCCAGACGTGTATTGTGTATAATCTTTTTGATAATGAGCTCGCACTGACCACCCGGCTTTTATCTGTGTTAGCACTTTGTTTTCGTTTAGTAATTACTCGGCCACGGTAGCGAGAGTATTGTTTCTGCGTACACCGTAGAAACCTTTTGGTATTAACAAAGAATACTTTCTTTTTTTAAATACCGAATTGAAGGTTTTTCCTTTTAACAAACATGTGATTATAAATTTAATATTAGCGTACGCAATACATTATAGTAAACGAAAAACGAGTTTTTAGTGACCAGAGATGTATTCGTTGTTTTTTATCTTCATATTATATCATGTAACCGTATTGCCATTTTTAACACAAGCCGACGAGAAATGTAAGTTTACAATAATTTAAAATATTTTATTTTTGCATATTCCTTTTTTTTTTTGTACTCGGCAAAGTAGCACTGATTACATTTTAAGTGATTTTTACACTATAAAACATGTGTATGATACTAAAACTTTCCACATCGTTTTATTTTCAGATAAAATTTGCGTAGTATCGAATTACAACGGAAATGATAAAACTAAAACACATTGTCCCGCTTTATCCCGACAAATAAACAGTGAGGTCGAATGCGAGTTCGCAAACGATAGGTTTGTAATTTACAAGAAAACATCAATATAATCGATTCTAAAAATAATGCCTATTGTTAAACTACAGAAAACATAAATTAAGGGTACAGGGGAAAATACAGGAAAGGCACTTTTTAAAAATGACAATTTTGTTATAAAATTCGCTTCGATACAAAACGAATCTGTGCTTTATTTTTAAGCATGATTATAAACAAAAATTAAACATATTTTTAACATTTTTTAGCATTACTTGAACATGTTTTTCATGGTTTTTTCCTTGTACCCTTCAATTACTCTTAGTATATACCGTTGGTTGTATAAAATATTATAAGATGCTTTTATTTTTATGGAGAGTTAAAATTATTGAATTTTAATTAATCGTTGTTTCTCACAAGAACGCATTGCATAAGGAAAATGCTCGCTGGGGACGCGGATTTTGGAGTTTTTCAACCTGAAGAAATATCGTATGCGTCCCAATGGAACGATTTCCTAAGCGTCACAAACGAAATACGTTTATCTGAAAATGGTTTGTAGTTTATAATTAACGTAACAAAAAAAATATGGACTAAATCGTTTGAATGTATTTAACATTTTAATACACAAACAAAAATCTACTACTATCTGGCTAAATAAAGCTATAACAAAAAAAATAAAAAATAAATCTACTAAAAATTCCAACTAAATACTTCACACAACTGACTAAAAAACTGTTTTCAAGTTATATTGATGTTAATTCATGCTAGTTCTAGCCATTTTAACTGCAAACAAGAACTTTAAATACATATTGAATAAATATAAAATTATCTATATAATAAGCAGTCAAGTAAAAAAAATACTATAATTAAATAGGAATAATTGTAAAAGGCAATTATACTTAAACTATAATAACATCAGATAATAATGATCATTGTGGAGAAAAATTAAACGACACATGTTGTTTGTTTGAATGATTTACATAAAAAATAATTATATCTACCGCACATATGTTTTCCACATATTATGTAATGTGAAATATTATGTTATTATTATTGTATAATTCATTACATGTTTTATTAGAGACACGCGTATATAATATACAAATTGTATAAAAATATTAAATTTCTTGTATCCAAAGGCGCAATTTAGGGTGTGCTTAATTCTCCCAAAAATATTTACCTTTTTTGAAATAAAGTTAATGGGGAGTAACATATATTCGGTAATTAAGCCCTCTCATTTTTTTAAACATAATTGCGTCCCTGCTTGAAACAATTACAAAAATAAAATATGCCTAATATAATGTGTTAAGACAATATAAATATAATAGTGTCGTCAGTATACAAGGTTTTTACTTAAATTATATAAAAATGGTTTCTTGACGAATTTGCTTTTGGGAAGGGACATCAGTCATTATTCATCGTCCATCGCCGCGCTGTAGAAGGTGGTTGGCGGTTGCAGCTCCTTATTCCTAGACGATTTCTAATTAAACTTAAAATGTCAAATTAAATCATTTAAAAACGTCCGGCGATACTAGGGCAGCTATATTTTATAAAGACAATAGTCAATGACTATTCTGCCCTCCTAAGCAAAAATATCGTAACTCGAAAAACAAATTAAAAACGATTAAATCAAGTAAAATTGTTTGATAATATGTTTTTAAAAATTAAATGATAATTTTAGTTTTTATAGTTACTCGTAGTTTTAAACATAACTAATTTAAATTTATTTTCTAACAAACCTGCATATAAATATTTAATTTTTTTACGAAACAAATAATTGGTTTCATTATAAGTTACCTACTCAAAGAGTACAATTAGAATAACGCACACTAAAAACAATTATTTGTAACAACTAAAATGTACTATGAAATAGACATTGAATGATTCGATACCAATAAAGCATTAATCATTAAGAATAAACGTTAAAATATACTTGTTTTGTATAGAGTATTTATAATATACTTGTTTTGTATAGAGGATTTCGACTACAGCATGGTCGTGTTAGTTAATGAAGAATCTAACATTAGGAGCTTAAATGATTTACGTGGTAAACGTTTATGCCATCCTGGATTTGCTGAAGGTGTAGCTGGAAATGGACGGTCCAATTCAATTTTGCAGGTATTTATATTTACACAAAATAAGTAAGATAAAACAAAATAAGTAAGATAAAACAAAATAAGTTGGATAAAACGTTTAAAAAAAACGTTAATTAGATGAAATTTCAATGTAATTTTATCTGGCTTAATTTAAAACCTTAAAATATCATTCAAATCGGCGAATAAAATACGGTGGTTACCCCGTGTGGTTTCAGACAGAAAATTTTAAATCCATTTAGGTGGCGGAAAATATTTAAACAATAGACTTTTTAGGATCCCCGAGTGTCTTACATCAGTTGGATCACTCTGTATAGTTTTCTGTAATTGTATAATTTCATTTAAATTTAATAATAATCATATCGTAATATAAAATAGTATAGTACAGTGTATACATTATGAAATAACTATTATATTACTAATTTCGAACATATAACATATTATTCAACCGGGATATAGTCGTTTTTAGTAAATGCAATAAACAAAAACACAATACTTACTAAACGCCATATCATACACACTATTCATATTATTGATTGATATTATATATAGATTTTTATGTAATTGTTACTTAAGTACTTTGAGAAGACCATCGTACCCCAAAAATGTAATAGCGAGATGAGTATTATAGAAAATCAAGTACAATCCCTTTCGGAGTTCTTCGGTGAATCGTGCAAAGCTGGTCAATGGGATCCGAATCCCGATGTAGACTATACACTAAGTAAATATAAATTCTAGTTTTTAATTATTATAATAATAATTAGTGTGTAACCCGTCTAGTACACCTTGATTCCTAGCCCGGAAGGCCTTATAAACGTAATAGTCGCCGGGCTCAAGATATACTGGGCGGGTTATACGATACTTGTATGCGTATCTATACTGAACTATGCGGTGTATCTAATAGAAACCAAATATCCAAAGTTATGTGCTCTATGCAAGAATCCATTGGCGTGCAGTTCCAACGATCGGTTTTGGGGCAGACAAGGAGCTTTATTGTGTTTAAGTGATTGTTTTGGAGATATCAGTTGGGCTAGATTATCCGATGTCAGATTACATTTTAACGTACGTATTTGAAACTAGCCATACCTAATTTGGACTGGCGAAGTAATAACTAAACGGCTACAAAATATAAAATAATGACCGTTAATTATTTTTGAAGGGAGATGGCATTAACACGTGTAGCCAGATTAGCTTTTTATGTCCAGATGGATCGCTGCAACCTTTGAACGCCACTAATCCGTGCACTTGGATATCGCGACCGTGGCCCGCCATAGTTGCAAGAAAGTAGGTCTCTCGTGTCCTAATAAGTCTGAATCCTGACAGAAGTCATTATAAGCATAATAGTTTAACGAACGTTTTACAGGTCGGCGGCTACGAGTATTCAGAAAATGATTAACTACTCCAATAACGCCAAAGAATTGAAAAATACCTCGTCCTGGCAATGGTCTCTGAACAATCTACTGATACATTATTTTGAACCAATTACGTCGAATGTAATCAAGAGCCCTAAGGAATATCTTTCGGAATTTCCAGGTTATTTTAATTCCGAAAGTGAAAATAATAAATGCACAAGCCGTACGTTTTCGATGTGCACCGAGAATAGCGATGCTTTCAAAAAATGTCAAACCCTTTCTGATATAGCCGTGACTTACGGAATAGAACCAAATATGAACTGTAGACAGGCCTCAGAATGCGGACAAGAATTAGAAAATGGAGAGTCAGACGTCATGATACTGGACGCAGACAGGATGGCTTCCTATAAACGGTAAAACAGCAATTTAATTATAAAGAATAAAAAGATAAGACCGTAAGTACTAGTATGAACCCGTTTTTTTCATTGAGTTAATAGATATTATAGTATTAATAGCTACATTTATAATTGTCTCATGACAAAGTGTAAGAACAGTGGTCAGGTTACAAACTATAAACGTTATAATTTATTTTAACCTTACATACAATATAAAAAACAATACAATTAAATGCGGGTGGGTATAGTTTAATTTACATGAATAATCTAGGTTGCAAATGTGAAATTAATTAATATAATTTCTATTATAAAGTTATTAAAGCGCTTTATTATTTTGACGCTTTAAACCAAAAAACATTACAAAATTTCGACTACATATGATAGTCCGATTTTAAATCTGTAAGTAGACATGAACTAAAGGGAACGAAAAAACTTAACCAAGTGCCAAAAAATTCAGTAGACTTTTTCCTACGCTCCGTGATCTAGAAACAATTACTAATTCAGTGCACTCTTATCTGCTTTCTTACGACTGTTAAATGTAATTTAAAAGCGGATTGCGCTGGCATCGACAACCTGGGCTATAGTTCAATAGTTTTTCTCATTTTCCCATAATTTTTTTTGGCACTTGGATCACTTTGCTTCGATTTCCGCTTCAATTACAAACCGATTTTTCTTTTTAAATTATTGAAAATATTGACAATTTTTCCTTCCTATTAAATACCGTTTAAAAAATATGATTTTTTAGTAGCTTCAAACTTAATCTTAATATTTTGCATCATACTTTTAGAAAATCTATATGCTTTTTGATGTAGAGTTCTTTATTAAGTCTTATAGATAAATCTCTCTAAATTGTAAATATTTCAAATCCAACATGTAACCATGTAACGCAAAATGCAGCCTAAATTTTTTATAGATTATATACCCGAAGTGTTTAAGCCCCTCATGCGATCTTTCTTATTTGCTCCAATGATAAAACCCCAATGCCTTATAATTTCTGCGTAAAAACTAACGAACTCTGTTCTAATTTCAGAATGTACCATACAAAAAAAACAGTACTTTACGCTACATCGTTATATCATCGCATGTATCGTAAGGTCAGTGCAGTAATGCTTAAGAAAAAAGCTGTAAAAAGTCTTGAACAGCTCAGAGGGAAAATTGGATGCTTTCCTTTGTTTGACGGATTTGGTACATTTTTATTTTTTACCTAAATAGTGCATTGCTTTATTATTGTACTGAACCAAGTATTATTTGATTTATTTTATAGTTTGGAATTCGTTTCTGATAACATCAAAACTAGAAAAATTAGATTTATCCCCAAATAATAGTACTATTAAACATTTCTTTAGTAATAGCTGCGCGATAATAAGTTCAGATCAAAATGCAGTTCCTTCGTGCCAATACGATGGTAATTCACAAACGATTTTACATTGTTTTTATTAATAAATATATACATAAGAAAATGGCGCCTAACAAATTATGGTAATTATAGATATTTTTCCCGAGGAAAGTAACAAAAAAGGATTACTATGGGAAACGTTAGCACTCAGATGCATAATTGAAGGCGGAGGAGATGTAGCATTCGTAAATACTCATCATATCGATAACTATTTAGGTGATTCTTTATGTTACTGTTTACATAACCTAATAAATTGTGTTAACATTATTTTTTTATTCAGGCATATTAAAGACACCGATGAATTTGCAAGATAATTTCAGTGCTTTGAACTTTACAACTGTGTGTGGTTCAAATTATAGTCGTTCTCCGGTGGACTGTCCATTATCATGGTCACACTTTGGCCAAGTAAGGCGCGATATACGATGTTCGCTGAACCATGTACAAATTTATTAGAAAAATAAATAATTTTTGTAATGATAATATTTGTTGTAGATCATTGTGAACCCGAATTTGTCACCTTTGGTCGAATACGAAATTATATCAGTTTTATTAACAATGGATGCGACTTTTGGACGAAAAAGCGAATTCGCTGATACATTACCACCAGTATTCTTGATGTATGGACCGCATGACAATGTAGCTGATCCATTATTCCCGGTAAAGTTTATTTATTTTATAATAAATAAATTACAACACAATGTTATAAATTAAACAATTAACATGGTTAATATATTTTATATATTTTTATTTACAGGTCGATACAGAGAAGTTAGAGACTGTTAGTCAATTAAGTGAACATCAAGTACCAATTATACCAGAATACGAAACCCATCTACTTCTTTTGAATCAATACAATGATGTTCCCAAATCCTCCTCGAATTTAATGATATCACAATATCCTTTACTATCGCTATTAAATTATTTGTCTATATTTATTTTTATTTTACACTGATAACTATGTATATTTATTCAATACCTGCTGTGATTTACGAGTATTTTACAAAACTGTGTAGTATGTATAATATATTTTTATTGTATACAAATTTTAATTTACCATTATAAACTTATAAAAAAATTTTGAAAAGACATTATTGTCGAAATGTTTTTAGTAAAGTAATTGTTTGTATCAAACATAAATTAAATATTATAACGTACAAATAATTTATGCTGTATTATAGATTTATTTAATTTGTATACACAAGCAGTAGGTAAGTAAAAGTAAAGACATAATATGTACGATGTTCAAAAATTAATAATATTTATGAAAGGAATTTTTTTTTTATAATATTTAACTGAATATGTCTACCATATTCATTATTTACAGTCCGCAACACAGTGTATATTGTAAAAAATAACGTTTTTATGCGTCTTAAAAAGCATAAAATAACCTTCCGGAGGTCTTGGTAAGCAAATAGGACAGGTGAACTAGAAAAACGAGGGGCGCATCTTTCTACTTAGATATTAAAACCTAAGCTTTCATGCTAATGCATCATAGGCGGAGATTGGGGGGTCTTAGCACCCCCAAAATTATCAATAGCCCCCCCAATTATTTGATCACTCATCAAAGTAATAAATTCCTTAATTAATGGAGTAAAAACTAAAATTATTAATAAGAATAAATTAAGAAAATTATTTCAGTTCCAAAACGGCAAAACATTATAACAATGTTTTTGATAATGTTATCATTTAATTTTAATTCAAGTGCTAAATAAAGTTATACATTTTTCAAAAAACGCAATAAATATTGATAAAATTCAAAAGGCTCTAACCCAAAATGTATTTCCCAGCTTATTCAAATTATTTCAAGTCGCCTTTGCCAATTAGTTCACCTACATGCGAACGCAGCTTTTCAGCTATGCGCAAAATTAAGACATAGTTACGTACTAGTATGTTGCAAGACAGGTTTAATAATTCATCCATATTGTACATTGAAAACGATTTAAATATTGATGAAAAAAAATAATTGATATATTTGGATCTAAGAATAGGTACATTGCCTTAAAATAATATGTATTTACTTAAATAATATACAAATATTATATTATAATTATTATGATTTTTATTTATACATTTGTAATGTTATATAGTATTATATATTAATAATTTAGGAGTGTAAATCCCTTGCGGGTCATTTTAGGTAGAAAAATGCTAGCCCCCCCAAAAAATTAATGAAATTTCCGCCTATGTAATGCATTAAGTTATCTCTCATAATGCTGTCTAACCGAACGGATCAGAAAGTGATAGTATGACTATCTAAAATGAAATTTAATGGATTTCCGTGCCACTTGCCTTAAATTTCATTACAAATTGAAAAGACTTAATTGCTATTCTCTTCAAAGTTTGTTTTAAGTAGGTTGCTTCAATATTTTTGTTAACTACCTACTTGCTTAACATTTAAAGTAATGTGGTGCTCAATTTTACATGACATGTCATTAAGTATTATTTTATTTAGAAGAGAAAAGATGATTGTGCATGAATTATGAGTTAAGGTTATGAGTTGGGTTAATGAGAAGATAACGTTATTATATAAACAGACGTGTGAAGTAGTAAAGATGCGCCCCTCGTTTTTCTAGTTTACCTGTCCTATTTGGTTATCAAGACCCCCGGAAGGTTAATTATACTTTTTAAGACACATAAAAACGTTATTTTTAGATTCATTTTTTAATCTACTTTAGTTATTTTGTTCTTTTACGTTTTCGTATGTACGTATCTATGTATTTAAATGTACAATGTTATAAAAGGTTTATAACATGTTATAAAAAATGCTGCATGGTCAGAAGGATTATCATAAGAATCTGTAATCAATTTAAAAGCTTATAATTTTAGATTTATAACTGTATAAATTACCATAAAAGTTGTAAGAAAATGCAAAAAAGTGTAATGATGGGAACGGGTTTGAACCTGGTACCGCTCATATCTGAGCACCGTTCACGCCCAAACGCACCACGCATAATTTTTGCTGGCGGGTGAGAAATAAGTCTTTTTAAATTGCAAGATTCCACCCGGAACGACAAACAAGATTGTGAGTTCATAAAAACGTTATAATAAAAACTAAAAGGTAATATCGACTGCTGCAGCGAAGAAAGTCGTACCTTGATTTTTACTAATTTGGAGGTTATACCAAAAACTTCGGTTCGCGGTCGTAGGGATCCCTTCGGGGCGAACCACTAAAGCCAAGGAACACCTGATAACAAAAACAAATAGTCCTTTCTTTTCTCTGTTTCCGACGAAGAAAATATTTTTAAAAATCGGTCTGAAAGTAAAGGAAACTAGTATAAAAACACATAAAATAAATTAGAATAAGTTACCTAAATCGATTTTAATTTATGAATTTGTAACATGCAGCGCTATCTATACCATAAACTATTTATCTACGTATATCAATCATACATCAGGCTAAACTAAGATAATCACTCATGTTTAATGTTTTCTTAATACAATTAATACATAGGTATATAATAAGTTCATGTGCTAGACGTACAACTTACGAAGTGTAAATTGTCTTAACTTTATAGCTGCAAAAAATGTTTATTAAAATAATAATTAATAATATAATATCCTTGGAACGAAGTTCCTTAACGGTAAAATGTTTTTAATGACTTTTTACAAGTTCAAAATTAGTTTAGCTATCACAATATCATAATATCTACTATTAATAATTTTGGTCAACAACATTTTTAGTTATAACAAATAGGTAATTTAAACGTTAGCAAATAATTACAATTTTTAATCCCTAATTTTATCAATTTTGTCAATACAAAATATAACGTTTAAAAACTCGATCATTTTACCATCGACTCACAATTACTCTGGTCATAGATGTAACGCACATTAATTAAAAATCATTAATGCCCAAATGTTTAATACAATACAATTTTTGTACAAAATTTGCAAAAAATGTGTAAAAAGAATAATTCAAGTTAGTATAACATAAAAAAATTTTTGGGGGGCTTAAAGTCGGCAGCAAACGTCTTTCGTCGACAAACTCTGCTCCCCGTATGTCTCATATATTATCCGCAAACTAATGTGGATTTATATTGACATACTCGAAGGAGAATTCAATCGGCAATTGTTTTTTTTATAATTTTTATGAGAATTAAGTAACGTTGAACGACCGATTCTCGTCGGGAGTTCGAATCAACGCTGTAAGCCTTATGGCTAGTTTGATGCTTGCTACCATCGCGCCCCCTGGCCAGTAGATACTACAACATCAGTATATATACCATGAACATGTAAAAAATGAACACATGGTAGAAGTTGATATTATTATACGTTTATTTAATAAGCGTAAAGAAATACACGAAAAGAAATTACAATTTAATTAAAATAATTAAAATGCCGATCTATTTACCAAAATTCAATAGCTAACAAACTACGCTTTAAGGTGATCAATTTTAAAGTTATACAGTTTTAAAAAGTAAAAGCCAAGCCCCAAGCGATACAAAAATCAGAAGCGCCAGAACTGTAGTTTTTTTTCCTATTACAAATGCAGTAATTATTTAATGAAATCATTTAATTAAGGTATTTTGGGAATTTTTAATATACAAATTTGTTATCAAAAAAAATTATTCAAATTGAGTTGAGTGAGTTTTACAGTAAATAAATACCAATGGACATTAAATTTTAAACTTAAAGGGGCCTTTACACTATCCTTTATTATGGCGCATTGTTAGGCAATTTTTCACTAAAACTTAACATTAAGCTAACATTTTTAAACGTACATATTACTATAAGAAAGAGGATCTATTTTGATTTTTAATTTGTTTTTCCAATTTCTACAACACATAGTTACAATCTCTACTTTTATACCAAAAAATAAGTTTCTACTTTGAACATAGGTACGTCCTCAAAAATAATCCCATTTGTTTTGATAAAACATTTGGTTTTTCTTCATTATATTTACGAAGTATCGATCATGACACCATTTAAAAATAATTTTTAGTTAATTTATAATTTCTATGTGAAAAAATGTAATTTTTAATACAACATAAATAACGAATATTAAAAATTTACTTTGATCGATTTATCAAGCAAGTGAGTATTGAAGAATCTATATCTGTTTTCCAAATTCAAAATTATTGTTGGATCAAGAGTTTTAGAGTAGGTAAAGTTAAAATTAGAATGAGTTGTTTTTGAACAAAATTACGCATGCGTAGAACCCCTTAACATTAAATTGTATAACTTACAAAATTTACTGAAAAAATATTTTTTTAAATATCTAAACTGTAACTTTCAAAGTAACCTAACCTGTTACAGACCTAAGATAGTGTTTGAAGATGTCTACAATATTCAAAATTATAATTATAATTTTATAATTAGGTATGCTATATAATTAATAGGTAGAGCAAATACGCTATTCACAAACAACTATACAGTCAACACGAAGTTGACTGTAGTTTTGTTAACGGTTATAATGTTATATTCTATTTTTTTTTTATATATATATATAACAGGTTTCGTTAAAAATAAATTTACTAGTCCAAAAGAGAAAATAATACCTACCTACTGACTTACGATTTATGGAGAACGAATTACTTTTACTTACCTAAAATATCTGTTTAGAACAATTTTTCAAATAAGACATTAATTCTGCAAAGTAAATATACATTTTGATAATTGTACATGATGTACAAGATAAAAAATTAATGAATAATTATTCTCTACTATATTTTAACAATCGACGTCAAACGTCAAACTCCACTCCACTGCACGTTCTATTTTGAGACCAGTTTAAAATTAAAAATACCCATTTTAAATTTATTTAACTACAATATTATGAATAACGCAATTGAAAAATGTAATTTATTGAACGACTGTAAAAATGTATTAATTATAGAATTAAGCATTAGTTTTTATATACTTTTAAACACGTCTTGTTATTATCTACATTATTATAGGTTATCTTAATTGAAGGTTTCAATTTTTAATAATAGGTATCTAAAGTTCATATTTTAGTCTGAAAAGTGGCCGGTAGATAGGTACTTAAGATAATATTAGTAGGTACAATTTGCAAAAATGTTATCAGTTTTTTAAATTATTATACCTATCAAATTTCAAATACCATGCGTAATAACATAAATTAGAAAAATAATATGTATTAATGCAATTCAATAATTAATAAGTATTTACTGCATTGCAATAATTTTTTTTGTCGTACTAGTATTCTTATTTGTAGTTTTTAAGTACTTTACGCCAATATTTTATTATACGAATTTGTTCGCTGTCAAATTTAGCGAATCACAAAATATGAACAAATAAATAGCGTCTTTAGTCTATTAACGACTAGGGATAAAAACATTTAGTAGGTAAAATTGAAATAGACAACCCTGTACATATAGCATAAAGTAACTCTGTGGCTTGGGTTCAAAAGGGCCAATGTCAATTTTGTGCATAAACGAGTTAGTCCGCTAATTGCAAAAATTGAATCATTCTTTATATACTGTGAAAAAATCATACTCTGAGGCTAAAAAATGAATAACTCATGAAGAATTTGATAAAAAAATTAACATAGAGCCTAATGGAAAATAAAAACTTCATAGCTCATTTTCCGAAAGTTGCAAAAAGGAACATTGGCCCTACTTGCTCCAAGCCACAGAACTATACTCTATGACTATGGGTTGGCCCCAGCTGAAATATTATGATAGTGGTAATTTCTTATCATTTGGGAACCTACGACCGGATGCCTAGTGGCTAGTGTCGGTGCACCGTGCAAAGCGATTAAGGTTGGTACCACGACATGACATAACAAGATACCGTAATATAAATAAAACCGTACAATTCGCAATGAAATAAATAGTTTAACCACAAAAATATCAAACAGACATAGTATTTTGCAATATTTTTAAACTAGAGCTCGTGTTTAAACAGAAATGCATTAAAAAAGTAATTAAAATCTGCGTACGTAAGTAAATTATCGGAGAAGTTTTTCTTCGACTACGCGGTGGCACTGCAACGACAACAACCCGTCAACCTAAAACCATTCGTGTATCGAAAAATTCTGAAAAACTCTGTCTGTCTCTCTCGCGCACAACATAACACTGAAAACGATTTACGTTGGTAGAAACCAAATATTTTATCTTCAATATCAAATCGTCCGCGGTTCGTCGGTAAAAATCCAATTGTGCGCGTTTGTTTTCCAACGCAATCTGTTGTACCTATATTTCTCTGTTGATTTTGTCGCACAAGCTCGCAGACACAGTGTTTGCTTCGAGCCAGTGGGTGTTGTTCTGTGATTGTGCCTACGATGACCGTGATGTTTCGAAAGAAATCGTTTTGATATTTACCGTGGTCAAACCGCATTTACGAGCCACGAAAGTATTATCGCATAACTAGTAAATTATATGCGTTCACAGCCGGAACCAATATTCATCACGTTACTACAGGCTGATAGTTTCACGATGTTGCCTTGGGTATGATCGGTATTACCATTTATTCAATGTGGCGCCCAATCAAATGGATGGCGACAATGTGACTGCTATGGAAACTGATAAATTAGTCGACGACGATCTCGACAATAATCAGGTAAAGTTAAATTCAGTCGAGTCGACAAATCCCACTGTCTTGAACGTAACTTGTATGGTGAGTTAGATGCATTAACAATGTTTACGTACTAACGACTTCAGATTTCCCATCGTTGTTAGTTATATCTGATACTGCAACACCTCGAATGAATTTTTTAAAAAATGTATTTCATCATGGTAAAAGTGTATATTTTTTTTCGTTAAAAAATATATAAAGAGAGATTCAACTTCATTAATGTATACATATAAATTAATGAAGCAAACTGCCTTTTACAAAAGTTGCCACAAGACGCAGCATACTTTTCAAAAAGAATATCGATAAAAAGTCGGTTTATTAAGGTAGACCTTTTACCGATCTAGCAGGCTAATAGCATTTATTTTTTTTGACACCATAAGGACATTTAGACATCAATTACATTTATGCTTAAACCTTTGTTTAAATAATCATTAATAAGCGTCATAGTCCACATAATATTTATTGCTGAAAAACCTAATGGGTTTGTTATTTTATAAATTATGTTTTGTCATATAACTACCTATATCTATTTAAATGACATATTTAGTTACAATAATATATTTTATGTATAAAATATATAGACATTTTTATATTCCAAACAGCTGTCAAGATCGCATGATTTCGACCTAATGCACACACAGTAGGTTGTGTATATACAACACAATCTAATTCTATTGTAAGTTAAATTGGTAGTTAAATAATAAATTTCTTTTACTTTTGTACTTTTAAACATAGCCTGTACCACAATATGACTCATCCAATTAACTGAAATTTGAGAAGTAGATAATATTTCTAATATTTCATTATTTTTAAACCTATATGGTATTTAAAAACAATTTGATATTATTTAATAATCTATTTTGTATAATTTATGTGTAATCAATATTTCTTAGTAACTATTTAGTATTTACTAATAGTATGTACAAGTAAAATAATAAATATTTAAAGAAAACATTCAGCCACCAGAAACGGTGCGCCAAAGTGGTAATGGACACTTTTATTGGGATATGTGCATTATTATAGTTTCCTCTTAAAAAGCCTTTTACTAGAAATGGTTTTATTCACTATTTTACATAAACATCTTAATCACAATAAAAGCATAACTAATATTGACTTCATAAAACTTAAAAATATAAAAATGATCTTTTTATACGTTCTTATAAGAAAAATAAGTTGCGCTGTAGTCTACTATAGTGCTATAAAATGACTGAGCATTGCTTATAGTTAAAATGTTCAATTAGTCGTAACATTTTAAAATGTTTGTGAATCTAATGCTATTGGTAATATGAAAGAATTATTTATGATAAATTAAAAAATATCTTTCGTTTCTTAAGTATTATCTTAATGTGTTTATTAGCTCATTTATATAACAATCAGTAATAATTAATACAATGGAATGTGTCTAAGGTGTAAATTGAATAAACTGAAATCTTGTACAAGCTAGTGGCTCAATTCCATTAATGTGTGATTGTACATATTAAGTTGCATCGTCATAGTAGATGTAACTAGTAGAATTATTATAGTGGATGTTAGGAATATTGCTGTTTTACATTACGTGTTAGCAGACATGGTAGAATGTAATTCAAATAATTACACCAAAACAATTATAAAAACCTGTCGTTTTGAACGTATGTAGTGTGATCTGGCATATACGTATATGATTACTTTATCAATAAGTTTATTGTTTCGATCATTTATCAGTATTTATATTTATTAAACTGTACCTTACTCTATATAAAGTTGATTCATATTTATAAGTTAAATTATAGTTTGTATTTGTTCAAAGTTTAATCTCTTCGTGATTGAATGATTTTATTAAGCATTCAAAATGTATAATCGTCATTTGACTATTTTGGCTGGATGAAGAAGTTTAAGAAATCCTTGTAAATTGTGATATGTCATTCCTGCTAAAAAAAATTCTCGCATTCTAAATGAGCATGAGATAATGAACTTTTTCCGCTAAATAATAACCTTTATTTACTGTAAATTATATTTTATCTTTAGTATCTAATTTTATTTATACAAAGCCATGGCTGTAAAACAGATGTGTAGATAAAAAAATTGTTGTAAAGTTTTAATGTCTTTAAAAATAGCCAAATTGATAACACTGGTTGTGCTGGTTAAGTCAATCGTTGCATTCATGCCAACTCCCCCATTGTTACTAACACGCATTAGTAGAATTGACCTCCTGGATTTATCCATAATTCTATTAAGTACATTTTACTAAATAAACAGCAGTACTGCTCAATAAGAAACTTTTTTGGTTTTGAATAGGTTCACGCCATACCCTTAAAAATTAGAATGCCTAGTATTAAAATCAATGTTTTTTTAATGCGACAAAAGTGATGAATGTTCTTAAAACTGTTACTCATTTCAATTTGTATAAATTTTAAGTTGGTATGTGTCAGCCGTCTTAAATACTTGAAATTTTACATTTTTATTCAGTAAATGTTAGCACCTTTTAAATTTTCAAAAAGTTGTATTAGTTCTTTATTTTAGTAAAAATTTTAAATGATTCTAATTCTTTATTCTATGCACTTTCTCTGTAGTAGTATTTCCTGGTCTCGATCAGATAATAATCACATTTTTTTTTTTTTATACCGTTGGTCAACTATAGACCGTCTTGAAAACGTTCTAGTAAAAAAGAACAGAAATCGTTGTGTTTACCAGCACATTTTTGTAATGCAAACTCTAGGTGTGGGAGTTATAATAATACTAAAAAAATGTTGTGATGGTTAGTTAAATTTTAAATTAACTAAATTGTTTAATATTACTAGTTAATTATTGTTGCGACTTCATAATTTGCAATATTATGTCGCATTGTTTGTATATTGTTTACTACTGTTAACTAAATAATTTTCTTCTTTATTATTATTGCAATTCGCTAAGCAAACTTTTTTTCATTTTGCAGTTTTTTTATTTCTATGTTTGTACTGAAATAATTCTCAGTCTTTGTCAAAAATAATGTGATTATCGTTTAAATTCAGTTTTTTTTCTACAGGAACCTTATTAAAAAAATATTTAATTTAAATTTACTATAATCAATGATAACTGCAGAAAAAATATCTGGTTATGAATCACTTACTGTGGCAAATTGTGGTTGTAATAGTTGTATGTATTAAATTTTGATTACGTCTATATTTAGTATTATATTTATATTTTACACTTGTAATATATATATATGATTCTCTTGTCGTTTTCATTATCGTTTTATGTTGTAACTCGTCTATGATACAAGCGAAATTGTAGACCGGGGGGTATATTTAATTTTTCATGGTGGATAACTCGGTCGCAAACGGCATTCAAAATTAATTGTGTACATATTAATGTTGCGATATTATTATTCATTTTTAAAAAACGCGAAATATGTGTGAATATTTGCAATTGCCATATGTATGGACTTTGGACATTTTCGAGTTAAATTATTTTTGTATAACGTACTAGTTTCACTATATAAATGTGAAAATTGTTCGGACAATGTAAACGTTTTTTTTAGTTTGAGAACAGTCGGAATTCTTGATTTACATAATAATATAATCTCCGAAAATTTCCAAACACGAACAAACGTACACAACGGAGTATATATTATATTTTTTATTTTATTCAGAAATTGTACCGTCCAAGTCGTTTTTATAGTATAACCGCCCGTAAACCATATCCGAAATTGGAATGAATTATGTTTTTCGGAAAACCTATTGTTTCGGTCGACACTCGATAAAAAAAAAAAAGAGATACTACTTTTGGTCGACATGTTGTTTGTTATGACTTTATGTCGGTAAAATTTGTTGTTGTTTTTTGTTTTTGTCCAATAGGTGAACAACACTAGTTTTTTATTAATATCGACGTAGTCTGCGGTTTTTGTTTGCTTATCCACTACCGTGTGTAAAACATATATGTATTGAAAATTGTAGAATGAATCCCGTCGTGTTTAACATCGTAAAGGAAACGCCATTTTTCTAACAGTCGTTTTACTCATTAACACGTAATCTGTTACAAATTATGTGAATTAATGTCTCTCTGCACTTTAGTGTAATGATTGTGTCCCGGAATCACCGTTGCATTATTTAGATAGTCGAGTATAATTTATTTGTTGAAAGTCACTGACTTATTGCCGTTCTAATTAGACACAAGAATAATTATGTTTGGAAAAACAAATAATTATTTAAATCCAATGAATTTAGACTGAACTAAAGGACTCCGGCAGTTCAAACTACGGAACGATTAATCAAATATTAAATTAACCGCGTGAGTATAAGACGTCATATTTATTTGGGCTATTAGTTCTTGTGTCATTTGTTGACATCTTGCGATATGTTAATCATATCGAATATATATTTCAAAATTATGAGCTGATTTATTAACTTTGTCGTGTAACCGCCATGCTAAACAATAATAATGATTTTGCGTGGAAACGTCTGGGTATCCTTTTCAGGTATCGTGTCATTTCGAATAATGCGTTATATATTACATGAGTCTTTTTTTTCTTTCTTTGCTTCCCTCCCCTACTCTTTACCCATATACGACTCCTTTTGTCTCAATGTATTCTCTTCTTCTCTCTTCTTGCCGTCGCCGTTACGACTTCTCGTCTGCCGAGTTCATTGACCTCTAATTATTATCTGAACCGGGACGACTACGATGAATTGAATAATAATATTAATATTATTCGTTTTTCTCCAGATCTGTTAGTTGTTTTTTATGACAATTCGCCGGTTAAACGCTGTTTCCTTTATTAGTTTAAAACTCTTCTGGGATTTTCCCGTTTAAACACCCAGAGAAGAAAAAACAACTAATTGAAAATTTGCGCGCCTAACCGATCAACTCTTAGCTAGTGAAGTAATTATTGTTGTAAAGAAATTAATCATCTTAATACACATTGGCCTTGAAAAAATACGAGTAGATTCCGAGTAGCTCAATACTTCCGAGCAGCTCAAGACACCATATTTATAACATTAAAATAAATATTATTTTGATTTCGACATGAGTTG